GGACATCTCTTCCCAGGCCGTGCAAACTAATGAAAAGTGGGAAGCTACTGCTGCCGGCAGCAGAGTTAGTTATGGAAGGGAGCCTGACAGCAGCAAAGCCAAGCACCACCATCGTCCCACTGCTGGCCAGTAACCTCATGCAGCACTGCAACTCACGGCAAGCCGCTGGAAAGAGCAGAGCCAGCACCTGCTATGGCTGCTCTGTGCTGCAGGAGCTATGTCAGTGTGGCCATGTTCATGTTACCTGTGCAGCTATGGACAAAGCACCTCTCACCTGGCTGGGGGCAGCTCCCAGAGAGCCAGGTCCTGCCTTGCAGAGAGCAGCTGTAGAAGGGAGTAAGACAGAAGCTTTCTGCTTGGTGATAAGCCTTGTGACCCTGGGAAGGGTTTGCAGACACAATATCCTCCATTAGATTTACTTCAGGGCTATGTCATATCAGCGCTCAGCACAGTACACCTGCACTGAAGCATGCTGCCGCAAGCACTGTGCTCTGCCTCATCCCAGCCCACAGAGGACAAGGGCCTGACATGCCCATGGTAGGTTTGGATGGAGCCACATGGAAGAAGCTGCTGATTAATTACACCCGATTAGCATCATATATAACACCTCCCCTGCTGTAATTATTTCCAGGTCTGTGCAGTGACTGTGCGCAGGTCTAAGGGGCAGGTGGCACGGAGGGGTTAAACTGGAAGCTGGGCCATGCCAACACGCACCAGCTGGGGGGGGCTGATTTAAAACACTCTTGTGATGGCAGTGCCAGAACTGGAAGTCCTGGTAGTCTGGGGCATTGGCATCTCCGTCTTCTCACCCTCCTTCCCTGCCCCCCCACAGTGTTCAAGAGATTTTGTCAGGTTGAAAAATGTTAAATTATCGAAAGATGAAGCAAAAAATACCAGTTGGTTTTCATTTCCTCTTGAAACTTTTCCTCCCTGGAAAATGCTGCCATAAACAATACTTTTGTACTAACAGAATGGTGTTATAAAAGAAAAAAAAATAAAGCTATTTTCAGCAGGGGGCTGCAATGTTGGGCTGAGTGCTATTTTTTCCCAAGGCACCTTGAAATACAATTTTTCTTAGCTTCCATGCTGCCTTAAGTATCAAAGCTTTCTACCAGCTTGACACCAGAATATGCCGAAGACATTCTGTATTATGAAAATTAAGCTTAAAAGCAGAGCAGACACTGATGTACCAGCTGGAATCTCAAAACCTAGACTTCACACTTGGCAGGAAGCCACCAGTTAATAACAAAAAGAAATGGGGACTTTCTCTCAGGGCAAGTGGACCATGTGCCTAAATTGAGTGTCTGGCTGCAGCAGGACAGGGGACCCCTCGCCCTACATGTGCTCGCCATGTTTAGTGGTGTCTCCTCTTCCACACATCCTGGGGTGCTGTTTCCCACTCTGGAGAGTTCCCAGGGCTGAGCAGGAAGCACATGCAGATATTCTCACGATTTAGCACAGCCTGCAGCCCTTCACTGAGCTCCAGGAACTACCCTGGGGGGCATTAAATTATGTCAGGTCCATCATTGTGCTCCTGGCATGGGAAAGTGGTTTGTCTTTTTGCACCTGGCCTGTCCCAAGGCCAGGCAGGGCTAATGTTTTGTATGGAGCTCTTAGCACTGAGAAATGTCTGGAGAAGTCCCAGCTTTGGCTCAGGCCACCAACTTCAGCTCTTAAACGGGGAAAGAATCAGCAACGGTCTTGGGTCTGATGGTGGCAGGTGGCAGCCTGCAAGCTGGAGGAGAAACTCAGCACTGTGGGCTATCTACCACCACAGGGTGTTGTTGCTTCCTGCTCATGGACAATGCCTTGTCCCTTATCTCTCTCCTTCACCCTGGATGAGAAGCCTGAGCTTGGGATAAACATTAACCCACACAGAAACAACCTCCCTGGGAATACTTCTTTCAGGGGCAGCATGCCAGCATACAGCCTTGGATGGAGTGTCTGCTGTGCGCTAGCACTTTTGCATGCAAGGGCTTCAGCATGTAAAGACCCAAGATCCTTCCAGCCCAGTACCACCCAGAATCAAAAAGGGGTGAAGAAGGGAGGCCTCCCAGCTTCTACCTGCTTGCAGCTCAGGGACTTACTGAGCCAGCAGTAACTTTCTGTGTGTTTGGCCACCCTCCACCAATCTGGCCTCTCAAAACCATATAAACTCTTGGTGGCCTCAAAGGCCTGCAACAAGGCAGTCCATAAATCAATGGCACATGGTGGGGAGGGATCGAAAACATTATTTTTAAGGTTGGAGCTGGTATCCAAAGGTTTAGATTAATGCAGAGACAGAAGGCTTAATCTAACAAATAATGTTATGCATACAGCAAAGCTCAGCAAAGGCTGACTCTGGGGTGGAAAGACACCCGCTTTACACACAGGCACAAGCACAGGCAGAGGGAGCTACTGGGTTGTGCAACCATGTTAAAGCTGTTTTCCAACCACAGAAGTCATCCTTGGGCACTTCATGCAGGGGTAACCTCAGTTAAGAGCACCCCTGACACTGGCTGATACTCACTGCAGCTCTTGCAGAGGCCTGAGGGACTTGTGCAGGGCTAAGCTAACCTCTGGGCCCAGGTAGCATCTTGTGACATGAGTTCAGTGCTTTTCAGTAGCCCTAAAGTTTGTGGAACAGAAGGGGAGGAATGCCAGTGAGGAATGCTAGCTTGCCTCCAATGTACAGGTCTGCACAGGCCTGACCGGTATTACTGCATCCACTGCATTTTAGTAAAGAACAACCACAAATGGCTGGTTGGCAGAATGACCAGAAGAAAAGGCCCTCAGTAACACACAAGTGGAGCAAAACCAAGAGCTGGTGAAGATGCAACAGAAGAGAAACTTCCAACAGCACTGAGACATCCTTCCCTTCTGATTTAAATTAAAAATTATTTTCAGAATTTCCTATCAGGGACAATAGCATATGTTTTCTTCAGAAAAGTCTATTTCTTAATGGGTCATTATATATCACACAGACCAATGTTTATTTATATACTGTAGACATACATAAGGCCGCGGTTTGGTCTAATAATACATGTTTCAATTGCCTTTTTAAAAAATACAGTGTCAGGATGGAAGAAAATAATTTTGAACTACTAAAAAAGGCTCAACGAAAAATACAATTGTTAAGTACATTTCTAATTTCCAGTCTTGATTTAAAAGATAATGCCTTCCAAAAGCCCGTAACAGTAGCAAAGATCTGTATTTGTGTGCACCTATGCACATAACAGTATGAGTAAATTAGATGAGCAATATTGTCTGTAAAGAAATACCTTCTGCCTTTTGAGCTTCCCTAAGTAGGTGGCATAATTTTAGAACCAGTGGTTTCTTATTAGAGATACTGTGGTAAGACCCCAGCAATATTTTCCTCTTGTCCCACACTTCCAATGTGTGTAGCTGTCAGTGACATACAGGGGATCTCTACCTCACTCTTGCCTATCTAGCTACTCTTCCCAAAATCTAACATCCATTTTGGTTACTTCCATGCTGTGTGCTTGGTCTCTACAGCTCTCTCCCAGCTCAGACTTTTATAATGCCTTGAAACTGGCTGATTTGTCCAGGTGTGCCTAAGCAGACCATGTGTCTCAGGTGAATAGAGGCTGGTGCTGTTTCCACTACAGTCTGTGATCCTGCCTATGGCCCACTTGGCTGAGAACAGTTATAGGCTATGAATGCTTCCTTTCCCTTCCTCTGCAAGCATGGATAGCTTCATATCCTAAGAGGTTTAAATGAGGCATCATCCTCTGAATGGGCTTCAGTTCAAGGTCAGTCTGAAAACATAGAGCAGAGCCCACCTTACAGCAGGGTCTGCTGCACACTTAAAGTGAAGTGCCAAGACTGCAGGCACACCTGGAATAAAGCACTGCTCAGCAGCAAAGCAGGGCAGTTCTGGCACTGTGTTAGGGAAAAGAAGTTGTATTTATCTAAAGCACTTGACCTGTCCTGGATCTGTGACAGATGGAGCTGCACAGTCCAGGCGATGGCTGATGCTGGGAGGCCGGGGAGAAGGCTATCAGACCCCATTCCCAGAGGCAGGCAGGGCATCTCCATGTACTATACTCATAAGGCCAGCTCCTTGGTTTAGGGGAAATGAATGTTTTTTCTAAAGAACAAGCCATCTTTTGTGAACTAGTCCAAATGGCAGGTTCACCTGCAGAGGGCCATATTCCATATTCCTTCAATACTGGAAACTCATAAACGACCTCGTCCTTCCCATTATGAATGGGAGTCACAGGAATGTCAACACAGAAACCCGGCACAGGAAGAGCAAAACTGTGAGGCAGGGGGAGATGGCCACACACTTATCCTGGCCAAGTGTGAGGTGATCAGAAGACCTGACAGGCTGCAGCTGGTTTCATTCTAAGATGAAAGCTTTTCTATGGATCAAACCCACCTCCGGAAGGCACAGTGCTGCCAGGGTCAGGCCAACCCATAGACGGCTCTGCTCAGAGCTAAACAAAGAGGAAAGGTAGCTCCCAGCATTTCTCAGCCAGGCAGGCAGACACAGCTTGTGCTACCATGGACTACCAGAGGAAACAAAACAAACTAGATGCAATTCCACTCTCACCTGTTCCAGCCCAAGTCCCATGGGAAGATGGCCTTCAGCTCCCAGGACTTCCTCGGGCCCAACACCCTTCTGGAGATAGTGTCATGACTCAGGTACTGCCATGTTAAAACACAACACTCTCCTGGCAGGCTAGCCACCGAAGGCACCATGCCTTCATAGAGCAGGTTTCCTTCCTGACCAATTCAGAAGCTCTAGGAACCAATGAAGGAGTGCTCTCAGTTCATTATTTCTGGTGACTTTACTTGTACATAAAGATATCTCTCAAGCCTCCATCAGAAAAGGTAGAAGAGCCCTGCCTGGCGGGGTCTTCTGCACCATATCAACTTGTGTCATGGTACCACAACTGGTATTTCCTATGGACCATCAGCTGTAATCCTGACCTGCTCAAGACAGGGTAGGCTGAATGAGGAAAAGTTCAAGAGAGAATAAACTGCCCTTGACGCCTTCCAGTCATTTACAAAACTTGGTCCTGTATGGTCCCCCAAACGGTCCTATATACTTACAGCCTTGCTTCCTGAGGCAGATGAACTCCTGCTGTGATCACCTTTCCCCCTCTGCTCCATCTCTTACAGACAGTTGCTACTGAAACCTTCTGCAAGGTGAGAAGGAAGTGATACGGAACTGTATTTTTGTTAAATCTCTTCTTCTTCTTCACTGACCACCTCCTTCAGGTCCTGAGGCCCCTGTTCTGCTCTCTCTTTTACATAGGCTGCCTTGATCTGTTCCAGTTCACACAGCTCTGCCTCCAGCTCTTCCCTGTGCATCGACCGGCGGTTCCTCAGCAGTTTCATGGGGAAGGGGTTTAAGTCATTGAAGGCAATGTTCATCAGCTTCCTACAATGGAAAAGATAGGTCTGGTGAACCGATTCACTGGCTGGTGACAGATGGGAACAGATATGCCAAGTGCATCCTGGGGTAGGCAAAGAGTAGAGCCTCAAATTTCAGATCTCTGAGCTCAGAAGTCATCAAGCAACAAAGTCTTAAAGGAATCACAGCAACTCCCCACACAAAAACCAACACAAGCAAGATTTTAAACAGCCTTGCACTACACCACCTTTTAAGGTACCAGTGTGCAGCCACTAGTCAGGATATGGTGCATCAGATGCTAACTCTGATGGCCCCTAGGGCAGGAATATTCCCAACACTGATCTCTTCTGATCACAGAAGACTTCCTCTCAGACACATATTGCCATTAAATGTTGTGAGTTGTGCTGTTTTCCCAAATACCCCAACTACAGTTTAGAGAAACGCAGCAAGTGGCAGCACAAGTTCCAGCTGCTGCAAAAAGGAGGCTGGCCCAGACTTTGTGGCCTGCTCTGCTGTAGTTGCTTTTGCCTGAGCCAAAAAGACTTTAAGTAACACCATGAAGGGAAAGTCAAAGAGACAAACTCATACATTCCCATGGACCTGCCAATGCACATGCATCTCTCTTAACAGACTGGTCAGTACTCCTTTTAGGCTGACCTAACAGGCAAGCAAGTACAAACCCAGGATGGAAGGCTGCCTACAACCCACAGTCCTACCTGCCATCCGTGATCATTCTCGTGAAAAAGCGTAGGTACTGGTAGATCTCCACACTGTCATGAATTCTCAGGATTTCCTCCTCGTTGTATTTAAAAATCGCAAGAGCATAGCGGAAAATCACCTGGAGGGTTGAAAGGTGTTTGAGTTGGCAGTCTTAGGCAGTTGAAGACCAGGCTCTTCTGGTACAAAACACGGGGTGGGGCACATAATTCTGCAGTACAGGCTGGACACTGGGCTTCTCCTGCTCTCGGTAGGCTATGTTAGGGCAGGCCTAAAGAAGCACAGAACCAATCCCAAGAGAATGATCCTCTGTAAGGTAATTTACAACCCCAGAGCATACCAGATCCTCCAAAAGGAAGGGACCCCACAGGGATTCCACAAGGGTTCTCCAGTTCTCACTGTGCGCAGGGACAATGCTAGACTCATTTCTTCAGATACTAACTGTCTGTCCACCTTCTTCCCCCTTTATCTGTTATACTCTCAGTTTTGTGCAGGTCACAGAGCAGAAGACACCATGGCCCATCAGAAAGCTGCTCAAAAGTGCCAGGGATACTATGCACAGCATCACAGACTAGGTCTGCTTACCAGAAGCAAGTAAACATACAACACAGAGGCTGGGAGGCATCAAGGCACCCCACCATACAGGCAGGATAGGATAAAAGGCTCAACCCTCCATCTCTTTGAAATGTGTGTGTGTCCATTGCACTGCCATCATGTCATAGAGGTGGTGAGGATAGGAGGTAGACCAAGACTGAGGGTCGCACCTTAGTTCCCTCATACAAGAAGGCATCCCACACTCGCAGGAGGATGTCGCTGACCAGGCTGTCCACAAAGGCCACCAGAAACCAGTTGAAAGTGATGAGTGAGACATCAATCCGATAGTGCTCAAAATGAGCCATGAGGCGAGGCAGCTTTTCTGACAGGAAGTCTTTGAAGACTCTCTGATCTACCTGAAGTTGACAAAAAAACTGTCATAAGCATCCAGTTGAATTACAGGGTTACTCACAGAACATTTTACATCAAATGGCCAGAGGGATTTCTGATCTGCGGGGAACCCGAAAGCCAGAACTAATGCTGTATTTGATCATGTACTGATGCAAGTACAGCAAATATAGATTTCCTTCTATCTGCACGTGACATTCCAAAGATAGGGTGCAGGTTCAGAAGAAACATCTGAAGAGCTGCAGAATGGGGCCTTCCTCATACTTAGTTCATGCTTGAGCCCTTCTTAAAATAAGTAACTGTATAATTAATGGGCACCTTCCTTCTGACTAACCTCACCTTCATGTAATTACTCAGGAGTGGTGCCCGATATCCTAGTGCCTAGGGATCAATTTTGCAAAGGGACTGCAAGGTGGGTTCACTCTTCTGTGAGAAATCAAACACAATGGAAGTTGACTGCTTGCTTTTAAACCTTTACTGAAAATCACTATGTCACAGACCAAGTAAATGTGAGCATGCCCAATTCACCTGTGATGTTATCAGCGTCTCACTGTAGTAGTCTGCTGGCATTAGGTTCTCCACAATATGGACTAGGCACCAGAAGGCACTTTCCTCATCTTCCAGGACCAGCAGGGCAACAGCTGCCAGCCTGTGATGGACAAGAAACAGTGAGGCACTACAACACTGCCAGCACAGGAACTGCAGAATCCAAGACTCCTCTTGGCATGTCTTTAGTTCCATGAGCGTCAAATGTGGCAGGACAGTTGGTCAGAGAGGCAAGTGAACCATTCTGCAGGCTTCTGAAGGAACCATGGGGGCATAATTTTCTCTCCCATGTGCCTCTGTCAGCAAACAGGAAGCAGCAAATGCAGAACTGATGTGACAAAGCCAGCCTCCCCAAGCATGGGATGTTCTGTAGATCTCCTGAAGTTAGTGGTGTGCTGATTTTGGTTATTGCCATACAGGAAAGAGCTTACCCAGAGATACTCCATATTATGGACACATTAATATTAAGCGACGCACTCCGTATTAAGTGACATAGCTCACTTTCCCATACATTCTTCTAAAGCCCATACTCTCCTCAGCTTTGGCCTCCCTTGGGAAGTGGAAGAGATGTTCAGATACCCTGAACCTTCCCTTGTCCAGACAGAATAATCCGAGTTTCCTCAGCCTTTCCTCACGTCATTTGTTGCAACTCCCTCATCTCTTCCTTCCCAACATTTCCTCCAACATTTCTCAGCAGAAAGGGGAATCACCAGGGTGTTTTTCTGCTGAGCACATTCAGAGTTAGAAATTCAGGCCCAGCTTCACGGTCTTATTCTGGGACTGCCTCACTCCACCTCCTAAAGCTGCTCCTTCCTCACTATGGAGATGCCAAACAAGTGCATCCTGCTGATTCCTTAATTCCAGCAACAACACCGGGTGAAAAAAACCACACCAAATGCAGAATTCTGCAGCCAGGACAGAACTCTACAGAGGCATGAGCCTGGGGTTGCTTGAGTAACACCCTAGAGTATGTATTTACACCTTCTCAGTGAAGAAGCAGCATACCTGGCTCCTCACCTGTTCAGTCCCTGGCAGTATCCAATGGCAGGATTGTGCCAGGAGAATGCCAGCAACACCCTCCGGAGCTTGGGGATGAGCTGGGAGGTGGGAGAGGAAAAATGCTTGTTGTTGGTCAGTGTGCGGGGCAGGTCAAGCTCGATCTGCCGGCAGGCAGGGGGCTCAGTGCTCTTTCTCTGCCGTAGCAGCCG